CAATTTAGTGGTCAAGTTTCCGCGGGGAAAAAGAAATACGTGGAATACAATTATCTCCAGGCCTTGCTGGCGTTTGCACCAGGCTCTGCTCTCGTGGTGTGGCGGTGAGACGAAAAATTAGGGGACGCGTGAAAACCTTGCATTTGGCACAAAGCTGCAGATTGTAATGCATTTTGTAAACAAACCAAACTTAATGCGTGCAAGCGGCTGGAGTCGCTGGGGTTCTTGGGCTTGGAGGTACCTGGCACCCTTGCTCTGTGCATACATAGACATGATTCAGATGTAGGTGGGGCAGGACATAGCCATAGGTGTCCAGGTTCTGTGGAGCCTCGTTTATGCTTGGTGGTTTCAAGTTAACTCGGTTTTGGATGACATCTGAAGACCTCAGAAGGGGAAACAAGGGTTTGGCATGTGCGATTAGACAATGTGAGGCGGAGTGAAAAATTCACATAAAATATGGGGAAAAGGAGTGAAAAATTCCTCCCCATAGGGTGTTGCTTAACACCCAAAGTCGGCAATTCTAGGACACTGCTTTAAAATACCCTCCCCGACATACCTTTTCCCATTCTCGCGGGCGTATAGCTCAGAAGCTAGAAGGGCTTAAATCTTAAGAATGGCAGGGTTGTGAACAGCACCGAAAGATCTTCAAGATGACTAGTTCAGTTCAACACCCAATATAAATGTGGAACACTCCCTTTGCTACATCTTGTTTGTTTTCATTGTCAAAGTAATGACGTTAAGCCTACACAAAGGAAAATAGCTGCATGATGACAAAATAGTATGTTGGTCTTGACAAGATCTCGCGACTGGGCGGAAACTTTATGCTCCCAGATAGAAATAGGCTACCGGTCAAATTTCCCTGAAAATGGAACGCTTGCAGTTCCATTGCCGCTATGTGAGGTACCCAGCCAGCAGTAACACGAAATTTAGAGAGGTGTGTTCCTTTCTTGGTCAGGAGTACAACGATGTGTAGTTTCAGGCGCTTTTAACATCGATTTTTTACGCAAGGCTCCGTTCATATGACAACATGGCCCCGCCGCTCGCACCTCTCGTTGGTCGCCGAGCAGTGTTTCTAAAAAACATCGCTTCTCAAAAGCAGGAAAACTTCGTACGAGTTTTTGGCGTCAATATACGCATCACAGATGGCTCAGAGGGTATCCTCTGAGGCATTCATTGCGCGTGTTTTGACATAGAAAACGTGCGTCTGGTGATTCTCCTTTCTGAGAAGTTACTGGCTTTTAGGAACACTGCACGGCGATCCACGGCTGGCGCGGGCGACGGGCGGCAGCTACGATGCGTGTAACACCGTTGTCTTAACAGTGTTTGACCACACTGTTCTCTCTATCACTCCTCGTTACGAAAAAAAAACGGCGAATCAGGACCAGGATTAGGCGCTGCGTAGTCCGGCACTAGTGCTTCCTGAATTGGCGAGGCTCATACTTGTACATTGTGAAAAGATCACGGGATACAGCAGGCTAATGCTGCCCTTTGCTTTGCAAGACGGCCAGGTGTCATGAATTCGTGAGGTCGTTAGTCGTATTAAGTGCCATGGGCATGCGGAAACCGAATAACGTCCTCAGCGAACTTGCAAGTTTTCAGAGGTTAGGAATTCAACGGTCAAAATTGTTGCAAAAGGTTATAGAATGTTGTAAAGGCGGTTTGCGGCCAAAAGAAGGTAAGGTAGAGCCTAAGAACGACCTTCAGTCTTCTTGCAAGACCCAGCAGCTTTGAAGGGGTAAGTTGGGAAGTTGTTGCAAAAGGTTGCCGAATGTTCCAAAAGCGTAAACGGCTAAAGAAAGCAATGTGGTGCTCCAAAACCACTTCCAATGTTGTCGCACTGCACAAGAGCTCTTCAAGAAAGCATTTTGAAACTGGTTGGAAAAGTTACAGAATTTGACAGCGATTTGCAGTAAAACGAAGCACCATAGAGCTTCAGGATCACATTCATTCTTCTTGCAAGGCCCGATGGCCCGCCTAAAAACAACACAGGCCCAATGGAGTGTGGCCTTGGAGTCGCTGGGAGGTCTTGGACTTGAAGGTACATGGCGCCCTTGATCTGTGCATACATAGGCATGATTCAGATTTAGGTGAGGCAGGACATAGCCATAGGTGTCCAGGTTCTGTGGAGCCTCGTTTATGCTTGGTTGTTTCAAGTGAGCTCGGTTTTGTATGGCATATGAAAACCTCAGAAAGGGAAATATGGCTTTGGCATGTGCGATTAGACAATGTCAGGCAGGAGTGAAAAATTCGCATAAAATATGGGGAAAAGGAATGAAAAATTCCTCCTCATAGGGTGTTGCTTTACACCCTTAGTCGGCAACTCTAGGACACTGCCCGGTGCACGTCATTTCCGTCCCCTGTCAGAGAAAGTTTAGTTTAAACCACTGATTTCCAATGGCGCCACCTCTAACAGCCGAAATCCGGGGTGCCCGTTTTACCAGGGTGCCTCATTTTGCCACGTTTTCCCCTACATTCCGTCCTGAAAATAATACGTGCTGGTTGCTGGTTCTTACACGTGTGTTGACTACAATTCTACGACCATTTTCTGCCACTAAGAAGTTTTGCTCGGTGGTCATATCTCAGGGGGAGAAGAACAGCACCTGCTAGCGCTCCCTCTGCTGCCTGCGTTGCCCCCGTACTTTTTACAAGTACATTAGAAACCAGGGGCATAGTTTTGCAGGCCTCAAGGCTAAGCAGCGAAAGAACGACGGAACCGACCCTAAAATGCGCCAACAAACGCGTTTGGTGCATTTTCTCTAGAAGTTTGTGAGGACTGCATTCCCCCGCCCCCTGAATGGAAAATAACATCCACGTCAGAAAAGGAATGTGCTTTATTTGGTTGGAATCCATCCGTCACTGTGTAAGCGACAGTACAAGAAGCAAAGTCATCGAAGAATTCGACTCTGGTATTAAAGCTGTTAGTGACAAGCGTGTTGGCTAGTAATAAGCTGACAGCGGAGGGACAACCCCAGAATGACGAAGCCATCCATGCTCATTTCGTCTGGGCTACATACTTGCTGAACCAATAACTCCATACTGAAAAAGCACACAGTAATTGGGTGCGCATTGCAGATTTGATAGCGTCCTACTGACGGGAAAGGACCGACTTTGCGGCCGGCATTCTGGCACCGTCGGATGTCGGCCTTATTTCCAGGACGCGCGCGGTCTGGTATGTGTGTAATCTAGTGCTTTCGAGCCCACCAGTCCGGTGACGATGGCGATGCCCTGGCGTACTCCTAGGGCCGTGGTGTACTCCTAGGGCCGTGGCGTGCCCCTGGGGCCGTGGTGTACTCCTGGGGCCGTGGTGTACTCCTAGGGCCGTGATGTACTCCCAGGGCCGTGGCGTGCCCCTGGGGCCGCGGTGTACTCCTGGGGCCGTGACGTACTCCTAGGGCCGTGGTTTACTCCTAGGGTCGTGACGTACTCCTACGGCCATGGTGTACTCCTAGGGCCGTGATGTACTCCTAGGGCCGTGACGTACTCCTAGGGCCGTGGTTTACTCCTAGGGTCGTGACGTACTCCTAAGGCCATGGTGTACTCCTAGGGCCGTGGTGTACTCCCAGGACCATGGTGTTCAGCGCCGGACGAGACGAATCCATGAAGTCAGCCCGCCCTAAACACGGCATAATTATGTGGTCCGACGCGCGTCCATGGCCGGAAATTACGCTCGGCAGCCTCCCAGACGTCGCCAGCCGCCCTTCAGCCGCCCGGTAACAGCGCAGACAGCCGCAGCGGCCCACAGCCGTCCCCACTCATGGCCCTTTACAAACCACCAAATTGTTCACACTGGTTAATTGTCTCTGGCATTATAACACCCAGTATCAGTAACCTAATGCCGTTATCATTTTCCGCACCAGGTTCTCGTAACGCTGCGTGTGGCCGTGGTAAGCCGCGTGCCATCCGCTTAAGTGTGAACAAGCTGACGCGAAAAACAAAGTTACTCGCGATATCCGTAGCTTAACGGCTGCGAAGCCGCGATTGATGATACGTTACGACCAAGTACGCTGAGTCGACACGTCCCGCCGTTGTCGTTTCTGACTCCCCGCACAGCCCGCCATGATGCCAGGGACCCCATTATCATAGCGGAGATCGTGACGTCGTTATGAGAAGCCTCACCGCCGGGTGCCCGCAGGCCGCCTCCGTGCGGCGGGCGTGCACGCGCGCGCGCGCGCGCGCGCGGCCAACGCTCTGGCACTGCCGCCGCCGACGCGGCCGGCGCGGCCGGCGCCACCGACGCCGACCTGACGGCCCGGCAGACCGCACGTGCTCCCCCCCGTGCCGGTTCGATCACCGGCGCAGGGGGGGGGGGCAGAACCGCCCCTCCCCGCACACGCGGGCCCGTCGCCAGCCGGAGACGGAGCGGCGCGGCGTTGGCTCGACATGCGCCACCCGCCGGCGACGCGGCTTCGGGCGCGGGGATGACCCCGGCGGTAACCAGGCGCTGTCGGTGGTCCTGCGCTGCTCGGCGTCACTGCCGCGGCCGGGAGCCCGGACGCCGATGATGGGACGATGACAATGGATGATGGGATGATGGGCGCCGATGGGACGCTCCGCAGCCTGGGTGGCCGTGGCGGCGACGACGGCCAGCTCAGATGGCGCGTCTGCGCCTCACGGCGCGCGCTGTCCGCCGACAGGATCTCGCCTGCTCCCGACGGATCACGTGGGCGTGAAATAGCATTCGAAGCTGGGACGCCCGAGAGCCACCCCTCACCGCCGGTGCCGCCAGACCGGCGGGTCCTGACGCGGCCGCTGGTCCAGGGCGTCGGCTGGCCCGCCGCCGCCGGCTCGCAGGCGCCTGTCCGACGCCGCAGCCGGCGGGAGGGGCGGACGGCTGACGGGAGGGGCGGGACAGCAGCCTGTTGCGCCTTCAGTCTCGCCGAGCGCTCCCGGTCGTCGTCGCAGGAGGGCGGCCGCCGACAGCGTGCGGAGGGGCGTCGGCGACGCCACGCCCACGCGTCAGCACCGCGGCGTCGCGACACAGAGACACGCGACCTGTCCTGGTAATGTATTCACTACCTGAGTAGACCAGTAGCAAATGAGCAGAAAACTTCTCTCCACCGCCCTCTCCGCCGCTCAACACACGATCAGAGACATAATCATACGAGGTAAATCCAAGGTAAAAAGAACAGCCGCCGACTGCTACCTACGGAGAGAGCAGACACGCACCGACTGCCCGGCCGTCAAGCCGCGAACACCGCGCTGGGGGCCGCCGCCGCCCCCGCCCCGACGCGCCTAGCGGCCGCCGCTCTCAGGAGACCGGCTGCGGCAGCTTGAACTCGCGCCGGATGTAGAAGAGGATGTAGGCCTTGCACCGCGCCACCTGCTCCTCCTCCGCCCGCCGCACAGTGCTGTCGTTGAAGTGGTACCACGCGCCTGCGGGCGCGGCGGCGAGACGCGTCATAAGGCGGCTTCTTTCTATTTGGAGGGGGGGGGGGGGCGATGCACACGTTCCCACCACGATACACGCTTTCATGTTAGTCCACGTGCTGGGTTTTGGCATTCCACGATACATTCAGCGCAAAAGACTTCTGAATCTGAAGTGAAGATGTCCCGATGACATCCTTTGCAAGACCTTTCATTGAAACATTCCGGCCTTCAAACTAGCCTTTCCTTGGTAAGTTTGACACGATGGATCATGACGCTGTCACCTGCGGGCAAGGGGTTGCAACAAGGGCGCGCTTTTGTTGTCATCTATTTAGTGACGTGGAACTGAATCAGCTGCGGTGAGGCAGCGACCTAGAGGTAGACGGCAGTGCGCCAAGCAGCACCATAACCCCACATTCGCCAAGAAGCACGGCACGGCACGAAGCGGACCGAACAAGCTCTCTGGCCCTTCCATCTCCACACTTCCACAAATGCCAAAGTTGCCGACGTCCTCTTCCCTCCCCCAACGTGTCCAGCGACGTCGCCCCGCTCAGAGTTTCTGCGCTGGAGGAAGGGGAGGGGGCGGAGAGCATACCGAGAGCACACCAACGGGGAGCTATACCCCCCCCCCCCTCCCCCCGGCGACCGGCCGCGACCTACGGCAACACAACGCGCCGAGAGTGGGCACCTCCGCCGACGCCTCCAGCCTCCAGCCAGGCCACACATCACCGCACCGACAGCCGCGGGGGCCCCCCACAAACACTGGCGACAGTAACGAGGCGCCCGCGCGGCCCGCGGCGTCCGCAAAAACGCCGCCGGCGCAAACAAACACGCCATTTGCCAAGCCTCGTCGCCGAGCCGACGTCGACGGAGAGTCGGGGATGCGATAAATGTGAGTCTCTTGGAAGTCCGCGCCCTGACATCAAATTACATTTGTAGCATTAACGCAATTCATGACGATTCTATGCAAACACGCTAAATGAGCTCCCGGAACGCTGGAGTGCAATCAATGTGAATTCCCCGAAGTCCGCGCATAGACCTTACGGCAGGCTCCCATCGAACTCTGCAGTTGAAGTGTTTCAGCAATACAGGACGCTTTTATCCAACTGGGAGGTCTAAATTTATGGCGAAAAGGTCATCTCACCCGACTAACGGGGACTTTGCAGCGACTCTTCAATCCATCCGCTTCCCTGCCGCGACCTATCTAGCGCCTCTTCATCCCACCCACGTCACTACCATACCGAGGACTATGCAACACTCCTTCATCCCGCTCACGTCACAACCATACCGAGGACCATCCAACACTCCTTCATCCCACCCACGTCACAACCATACCGACGACCATCCAACACTCTTTCACCCAGCCCACGTCACTACCATACCGAGGACGACGCAACACTCCTTCATCCAACCCACGTCACAACCATACCGAGGACCATCCAACACTCCTTCATCCCACCCACGTCACAACCATACCGAGGACCATCCAACACTCCTTCATCCAGCCCACGTCACTACCATACCGAGGACGACGCAACACTCCTTCATCCAACCCACGTCACAACCATACCGAGGGTCATCCAACACTCCTTCATCCAACCCACGTCACAACCATACCGAGGACCATCCAACACTCCTTCATCCAGCCCACCGTCACTAACCATACCCAGGACCATCCAACACTCCTTCATCCCACCCACGTCACACCATACCGAGGACCATCCAACACTCCTTCATCCCACCCACGTCACAACCATACCGAGGGCCATCCAACACTCCTTCATCCGCCCACGTCACAACCATACCGAGGACCATCCAACACTCCTTCATCCCACCCACGTCACAACCATACCGAGGACATCCAACACTCCTTCATCCCACCCACGTCACAACCATACCGAGGACATCCAACACTCCTTCATCCAGCCCACGTCACTACCATACCGAGGACATCCAACACTCCTTCATCCCGCCACGTCACACCATACCGAGAACCATCCAACACTCCTTCATCCCCCCCGTCCACAACCATACCGAGGGCCATCCAAACACTTCCTTCACTCCCGGCCCACGTCGCCTACCATACCGGGGACCATCCAACACTCCTTCATCCAGCACCACGTCACTACCATACCGAGGACGACGCAACACTCCCTCATCCACGGCCCATGCCACTACCATACCGAGGACCATCCAACATCGCCTTCATCCAGCCCACGTCACTACCATACCGAAGACGACGCAACACTCCTTCATCCAGCCACACGTCGCCTACCATCCCGAGGGACGACGCAACACTCCTTACATCCAGCCCACGTCGCCTTACCATACCGAGGACCATCCAAACGCTCTTCATCCCACCCATGTCACTACCATACCGCACGACCCACGCAACACCTCTTCATGCCCACCCACGTCACTAGCGAGGACCTTGCAGCACCCATTCGTCCCACCCACATCACTAGCGAGGACTGTGCAGCACCCACCCGTCCCACCCAAATCACTCGCGAGGATAATGCAGCTCCTATCGCGTCCCACTCACGGCACCAGCGAGGACCATGCAGCACCTTTTCAGCCCGCCCGGCGGCGGCGCCCCGGCTCACCGGCGTTGCTGGCGAAGGCCGTGTAGTGGCCGGAGCCGGCGCCCGAGCCATGGTGCACGATCACGGCGGCCAGGTCGTACAGCTGGCGGCCGGCGGCGGAGCGGCGCGTCTCGTGGCGCCGGCCCAGCAGGTACGGCGACATATCGAGCGCGCGCACCGGAAATGTCAGCGGCACGTCCACCTTGGTCCGGTAGTTGTTGCACCAGCGGAACCGCTTCACGTGCACGCATAGCACCTGTCGGCACGAGGGGTGGGGGGGGGGGGGGGTAGGTGGACGCCGATCTGGTGGTCACATGGTCCCGCTTCGGGACCAGCCGCAGCAGTCAAGGCGAGCATGGGTGGACGCACGGCTGTGGCGACACAAGGGCCGCAGTTCTCGCGCGCGCAGCGTCTCCGGGGGCGGAGGCGACGGTACAGGTCAGGCAATGCCGGGTATCATCTCCCGCTGCCTCCGGCCGTCTGAGGAGTGGCTCGGGTGACAGCACGCGCGGCGAGCGGCTCGGGTTCACGTTATCATCTGGCAGAGGCAGAGAATGTAGGCCTCGCAGCATTCTGCGCGTCTCAGCAGCCGAATTGCAATTCGCAATGAAAATATTGCGGTCCGGACTGGCGGATATTGCCGCCTACTCGAAAGTGCGCCAGTGGAGACGTAAACGCACCCACAAAATGGCCGAATGCGTTGGTTATAAATCAGTTGTGAATCAGTCTTACCTTTTCACGTGTCTGAAGTGACTACCATGACGTTGCCGAGATCCGAATCCAAACTCACGTACTTGACGGCGATTACCACCACTGGACAAACCGGGCGGAACACCTATGATTTCTTACTTTAATTCGCATATACCGTGACCAACGGCTCTTCACTGCCTCCCTCCAGTACGCGGCATTTGTTCTTGGCAAACACATCCAATTACAGCGGCCGGCAGGCCTGCAAGCACCATAACTTGGAAAAATGCCTTCCGCTCACACTGTGACATTCAAACATGATCCAGTGACGCCATCAACGCACCGACGCTCTTCCCGGTAGTAATGTTTCCTACGAACACTGGTGCGCGTACACACTGAACCAGCGTGAACAGAAGTTCATCCAAGAGAAAGCGCTCCGTCAGATATCCGACTACATCATCAAATTACAAACAGCGGCGCTGTATCTCGCTATACCTCGAAACGCTGCATCTCGCTATACCTCGAAACGACCGGTCAGTTTTTCATACTGACATGCCTGAAGTGGACCGAGTGACAGTGACGGCGGTAAGAGCGAAGTCTGAACTGATCAAAACCAGGCGCTCTGAAGCGGCTCCCACCACTCAAACGGCGCGCACGCGTGAAGCTACCTGTCACGGCCAGAATGCGCCGTCGGCTATGCGAAGTGTCAATGCAGCCACGGCGCCGCCGCCCTTCAATGCTTTTCATCAGGGTGTCAAGCGCCAATAGAATCGTGACGTCACGCACGGGCGCGAGCGTGATGGGATCCAAATCAGCCACGCGGAGGCAGCCGAACGAAAAACGCCATTCATTACAGGTGCTCAAGTAGCCGCGCGCGGAGCGTCCGCCGATGACAGCAAACGCTGCGAGACATCGGACGTGCTAAAACGTACACAACACCAAGAGACACTACTACGCCGTTTACCGACACGTGCCACGGACCGAGCGGCAATAGTCTCGAGCAGTTCAGACAAACGAATCATTTCAGGGCGCGACCCGGAACGTCGCTGGGACGCGGAGCCGCACCCATCGCTCGAAACAAACACAGATGACTCGAGTCTGCCCGGCACGCAGGTCACACCGTCCGCCACAGACCACCCGGATGCGAGACCTGGTGCTCTGACCGGTCGGCGAAGGGCGACGCTCTGACCGGGCGGCGCTCCGGCCAGCCGGCGGAAGGCGGCGGCCGGCGCGGCTGGCGCGGCACTCACGTTCGGCAGCTGCCGGATCCAGAACTTCTTGGTCGACTTCTGACGCTGCTTGCACGTGTTGCAGTGGTACAACTCGGTGTCGGCCAGCTCCTCCACGTCCAGAAAGAGGTCCAGGCAGTCTGCGGAGCAGGGGAAGGGCACGCGCTCAGTCGCCACCACACCACACCGGCTCAGGCCGCGCTGCCAGCCAGAGGGGGACGCGAACTAGGAGACATCCAGACAGCTAGAGGGGAGGGGGAGGCGGTACACACTTGGCTACCGCTCGCACGGCCGCGAGTCGAACGGCTGTAATCACGGCCTGGCCAGGGAAGCGCTTCACATGGAGGGAAGCTCGCATGTCTCCGGCCGGAGGAAGCAGCGAGGGAGGGAGGCGGGGGGGAGGGGGGGGGGGGCAGTCAGTCGCAGTGGACACGTCGGCGACCCGACTTGGCTACCAAGTGGTCCGGCGGCCTCTGAGAAGGCTGGCGAAAGAGCCGCAGAACGGCCGGAGGTGAGAAAGGGGAGCAGGAGAGAAAGAGGTGTGCGATTACCAGGGCGGTTACGGTTACCAGGGCGCGGTAATGAAGTTTCAGCCAGCTGCCAGGGTAGTTAAGACGAAATAAAGGATTCTTGGATGCCTTCTTGTGCCTTGTTTGTCCCACGAATAGACAAGACAGTCCGCCTTCCGCCAATTCAAGCATTTCAGGCTGAAAGCACACGCTCTTGGAGCGCGGCGCGTTCTTTAGCTAATTGCCGGCGAGTCCTTGAAAATTCAGGACGCGTGCGGGTCGTAAATGAACTATAACCCTCACCTTAAAAGATCAGAATGCTTCTTTTTACACAGCAGGAAACACGAGCCGCATCGATTGTCTACGCCAAGATGGCTCTTCAACCATAACCTATAACTAAGCAACACCATCATGACAGTAATTACACCACCTCTCAACCAGACGAGACAAATTTCAGAACGCGCTGGGATGCTAGCTTCATCTTCTTATTTTTAGTGGAATCTTTTGACGTAACGCCGCAGACGAGACTATACTAGGACGAATACCAATTCCCCGCCATGTTGGAGATCCAGCTGCAACTCCAATTCGCCGAAAACTTACAACCGTGCTCTCAACAACGATCTCATTTCAAGCCCAGACACTATATTTGGGATGGGCATGCCTATCGCCCACCACGACTGGCTGAACGTGCCAAAATGAGAAGGTTTGGACCACATGTTGTGTAACACGTGCAGTCAAACAATGCGGTAGCATTCGCCTCTGCCGGCAGACAAATTACTCAAATCCTTCCCCTCACTACGAAAGAGTCGCGGTTCTGTCAAACCGGTGAACAATAGGAAAGGAGGCCGTTCAACGCCAGTGAGCTCATGTAGTAGGGAAGGAAGGGGCAGCACGGACTTCTTAATTCTGCCTCACATCCTGGTGGAGTTTGAGGTGCCAGTGTCAGGAACGCTCGCAATCAGTCATCGATGCTCTTGTTTTTCAATAGTGGTCAAAATCGGATACAAATCTGTTATATTTTCGAACGATTTTGAAAAAGATGTCATCCTGCGGGGGTGGCACCCATCGTGGGGCTACACCGCCAGTCGTTTCTCGGTACAGTCCGTATAAGTGCAGCAAAGGTTGCGGCCGTTTAACCAACACGTTTGGAATCACAAATTTTGTAGGAAGAGTAGCCTGTACGTGTAACACCGCATCAAAATTGTACCAATGACTCTAGGCTATGTCCTGACCCGAAGTGGGTGGAACGTCTCAACATCTCCAACTTTTCTTTTTTCAGATTTGCCCATTTTTTTCTTTTCAGGGTTCAAGATCTCAAATCTCACGTGATATCGGAGTTTGTATTGTATTATTTGACGACAGATATCCGGAGAGTTGAAAAACACCGAAGTTGTTGTACCTTCGAAGCATACTCACTTCTTACAACTGTTCCACGGTTAATCAGCAAATCTCTATCCTATCCTTTACACTGCAAAGATTAAGTCCTATTTCTTTTCTCATTTCATTGCACTGTGGACAACCGTGCTGTTGGACCCGTTATTGCACGTTTCATGCACCCAACGGCTGCATCCACTACAAACAAGTCACACGTCATCCTCCCGACCACTCCTGAGCAGCACATACAGATGGCATATGTACTGAGAACACTTTTTAGTGGCCTTTTCTTCCTGTTGTTTCTTTCCTGTTCTACTTTAGCTTTCCTCTGCCTTGTTTACAAGGCATTCAGTGCTTTTCACCTGGGCATTCTCCTCCAGTCGCCTTTAATCGGGGGAGCTAGTCATCACGAGGGCTGTGCCTCTTCGTTTCCGTCGGAGCCGGTCATCACGAGGGCTGTGCCTCTCCGTCTCCGTCGGAGCTAGTCATCACGAGGGCTGTGCCTCTCCGTCTCCGTCGGAGCCGGTCATCACGAGGGCTGTGTCTCTCCGTTTCCGTCGGAGCTGGTCATCACGAGGGCCGTACCTCTCCGTTTCCGCCGGAGCTGGTCATCACGAGGACTGTGCCTCTCCGTTTCCGTCGGAGCTGGTCATCACGAGGGCTGGCCTCTCCGTTTCCGCCGGAGTTGGTCATCACGAGGGCTGTGCCTCTCCGTTTCCGTCGGAGCTGGTCGTCACGAGGGATGTACCTTTCCGTCTCCGTCGGAGCTGGTCGTCACGAGGGATGTACCTCTCCGTTTCCGCCGCAGCTGGTCATCACGAGGGCTGTGCCTCTCCGTTTCCGTCGGAGCTGGTCATCACGAGGGCTGTGCCTCTTCGTTTCCGCCGGAGCTGGTCATCACGAGGGCTGTGCCTCTCCGTCTCCGCCGAAGCTGGTCATCACGAGGGATGTGCCTCTCCGTTTCCGCCGGAGCTGGTCATCACGAGGGCTGTGCCTCTCCGTTTCCGCCGGAGCTGGTCATCACGAGGGCTGTGCCTCTCCGTTTCCGCCGGAGCTGGTCATCACGAGGGCTGTGCCTCTCCGTTTCCGTCGGAGCTGGTCATCACGAGGGCTGTGCCTCTCCGTTTCCGCCGGAGCTGGTCATCACGAGGAATGTGCCTGTCCGTTTCCGCCAACTTTTGTCTTTTTGAGGCACGAAGACTATTGGAAGAGGGATTATGTCATCTATTGGGCCGTTGGGTGACGGTGTAGTCGGGGTGCCGTGCTGCGCCGGTACCACCGGAGTGCCGTGCTGTGGCTGTGCCGGTGTTGACACAGTGCCGTGCTGAAGCTGCGACACCAAAAATGGAAGCACAGAAAGGAAAAGAGAAACATAGACAGGTAATACAAATTTCGTGTCGCTCCACTCGACCGCCTTTTTGCTAGGCCCTGGAAACATTAGGAGGAAAAAGTTCTGTAATCCTTGCCTAGGCCGCTAAGACCATGTCTTCAATTGAAACAAAAGCCATCAAACCGGAACTGTTGAAAAGACGATTTTTTTCAGAGATTTAAAGATAAAACATAAAAGTATAACTTGAACAGAAAATATACCGAGGCTCTCCTTCCAACTGCCACTCTAGTACGGCAATGGGTACAAAATATTTTATGGAATAACGCTTCCATGCAAGGCGCGTAGCTACAGAATGCTTTAGGGTGCGCAGTGAACAGAAAATACACGCAGCATTGCAGGACCGTATCTACCAAAGTTCTTAAGCTTATGCAAAACCCGGCGGTGGAAGTGGTGGGCATCTAAAGCATGTGGCATGCGGGCGGTGGTGGTGGTGATAGGTGATGGGCATCGTAAAGATCGCACGAAGATAGTAGCCGTACCTCGGGAGTCAAAAATGACATCGTAGTACATATACCAGAATTTGAGCTCATCTGTCACCTTTCGCTTCAAAAATGCCTTGTATCCGTAGGTTGCAACCGTATGATATTGATTGTGCTCCGCAAGTCTGGCAGGTGGTCCCCGAGCGGTCTTTGGGAATCCCGGTAGTACCCTAATCACATTTTTGCAATGCAATTCTACTGATGCGAGGGAGCTTCGTTGCGGTAAAATGGAAACAGGTGCCCCTTGGTGACAATACGAGCGAAGAATATATTTTCTCCTGCAAAAAGGGTTTACGAATAGGGGACGCACACCTCAGCCCCCCCCCCCCCTTGGCGCTGTCTCTGGCTACAAAAAAGCTAATTAGTAATTCGGGATTTGATTTGCACTTTATTTCTAATGATAATCATTCATTTTTCCATCCACCCAATCCTCTGTGTCGCTTAAATTCTTGAACAACACCGCTTGGGGTAGCACCGCCCATGGTGGGATAGCCCCGCCGAAACGGGCGGTGTTACCTCAAAGGCCTACCAACTTAAGAGGAGTGTAGATGCGTCATTACCGATTCACCAGGTATAATCCATGTTGCGCAAACTGGGCGCAAATACCTCCGAACCCCGAAGAAACTGCCGTTTCATATGACCCAGCACTGCTCTGTCCACTTCTGAGGGCGGAAAGTGCTCCGCTTTAACATCACTACATGCAAAAGTAAAGAACGTTGCATTTCAGCTCGATTAAATCAGAGCGTCGCGACGTCCTCTCCTCTTCGGTGCCACGGTCGAAAAGGCCCGTCAGCTGTGAGATATCATGAGATATTATATCATATATATGCAATATCACATATTCCTGACATTGGAGGGGGTAGTGTTCCCCAAAGGGCGGTGCTGCCCCCCCCCCCCCTCTTTCTCAGGTTTTTCCAATCAAGCGTAAGTACAATGGACCAGAAATGCACTGAAAATAACCAACCTGCCTTGGCTGGTTACTTACATCCCTTTCCCATTTCTAAAACTAATCACAGCTAGCAAAAACTGCAGCCGCCCGGATCCTGGACGACAAAGGCAAGCCCGCCCCGCAGAGGCCTCGTTGGAAACGCCATCGCACTCTGAACACTCGGTACCCGCCTGTATGCTCCCCGCCGCCACACCAGCGCGGGGTAAATACAGCGCGGCCGCCACTGAGCAGCCGCTGCCGGCGCACCCACCCAGCGCGCTCGAGCCCCGCTCCTTTACGAAGGGGGCCAGCTCATCTAAACGGAGTTAATTGGGCCACTTCCCCACAACTGGGCTGCATGCCACGCCATACTATGATATATATATATATATACATATATATATATATATATATATATATATGCCATGATGTTTGTCAGCTCCGTTTGAACCTGCTTCGATCTCGACAACCCGTTCTCTCGCGACAACCCGCCTTAACGCAAAACTAATAATCGACACATGCGCACTGGTTGGGGATAGCCCCCTCCCAGGACACTTGTTTGACAAATTTTGCAAATCTTACGTTGGGCTTCACGTTGAGTACCTCTTAAAGGTGTGATTTTCCCAGCATATCAATCCACTTTCTATGAACCTCCTATATATCAAATGTCTGCTCCGCACCCTGTCCGAGGCAACACACGTTGCCTCGCGGCGGACGCGCAGGCCGCGAGGAAGATGGCGCCGCGGGTCTGGGGAATCATGCCGCCGTCCGCCCCTCCCCCCCCCCCCCCCAACACACATATGCCATCTCTTGCATCTTATTGTGCGGAACGCCGCATCGCGCGTGTTCCGTCGCCGGCTGGCATGGCCTTGTGCGTGATGCAGCTCTACACCGGAAATGCGGCACAAGTTGGCGTGGCGCGTCAACGGCGCGCCAGCGACTGTAGCGCCAACATAAGCGCTCCGATTACGCATTTGCATCCGGTGCGTCCGATCTGAGCCCAGGCGCATCCGGTTTGAACCAACGCCCTTCCCCATGCTACCCGAGACGGTGTACGCTCTATCCAATCCTAGCTCACCATATCATCCAGTATATCATCACACATGATTCTGAAGAGCAGGAGATACAGGGGGGGGGGGGGGGGCACCGCCTTGCATCAGGGTCCAGGAATTGCGCGCGGGTTGTCATGGAGATCTTCTCAGCAAGGTCACGGGAATTTAGCTCATCACGGGAGCGCGCGAGTCCTGCGCAAGCCACGCGCTCACGTGGCAAAAGCAGTTTCATGCGTTTCGGTGCGCGCAATCAGTTGCCACGCCGCCGGTTATTTTGGGCGGGGAGACTCTGCAACACTAATTGCTTGAAGAATGAGACGGGGGTGCTGCGCACCAGGCCTTCAGCGGACTCGCAGAGAGACCCGGGGACCGCCCGCGTCGCGGAACACCGTCAAACAGAGCACCTCCTTTCTCACGGCACGAGGACAGTTAACACCATCTCTCAGGAGGGTAACAGAGATGTCTTGAAGCAAACGAGCGGAAGTTGCCCCTGCCAGCGGAAGCATGAAACGTGTGAATGACAGTGCACACACCAACCGCGTTGTTGTTAGTGGCTCGGAAAAAGGCATGGAGCGAGAACGGTGAGTGGCATGATGCCTTAGGAACTCGACCGACCAACAGCACGGCACGCCCCTAAGCTTCAAGGGGTTCGCGGTACGGGGGAGCGTTGATTGGAGTGCGGCGAATTTCGGGCGACACGAGCTGGCCGTAGAATGCTGCAGTTACCCAGAATGGCTTCCGAATGATAAATAACGTGTGTCGATCCCGATCGTGCTGCGAGGTGAAATGCTCGATACCGCAAGCGATGACCGTCGAGTCGACTCTGGTAATATCACTTTACGATGGAGTACGGCCCTCAGGCCGCAAAGCTTCCATAGGACATTGTTATTTACGAGTAAGTTCCCCAGACAGCTGAACACGGCTGTGTTTTAGCTGGTCCGCCGATCAGCTACCATGCAATTGACATACTTGTCGTGTGCTTTCCTCTCTGATTTGACGCACCGATAAGTTCGCTGACCCAACGTCGATCCGGGCTCACGACAAATCTCCGACGGAATCGAATCTGGCCTGACTGAAGTCAAACGGCGCTGATTCCGGAGTCAATCACAGCGCCGCCCAGAGGCCAGCAAAAAGCTGGCTGTACGCTCAACAGCCAATACACGATCTGAGTTGATCGTAGAGTACTTGAAAATTAGTAACTGTGGCAATTGGCACTTGGCAATTGTGCTCACGCTGCACTAAGTTCTACGCGCACCTCAGTGAGAAGTCTGTTCGACAAAATGGGCACATTCGCGAACACATGGACGCGTCGACATAATGGGCACAACTGCGAACAGATGGGCTTTTCAGCACAAACGACAAAAAACCCTGGTCAATAAAAACGGCCAATAAGCCCAGACATCGCCTGAGCATGTGAAAGCCACGTGGCATGCATTCTCTCGCAGTCAAATCCTTCGCAAAACCGTTTCAGGGGGAGGGGAGGGAACGATCCTGGTTTGGTGGTTTGGGACCTTTCGCAGTGGCTTTAAAAGCTGGGCACTACAGACGTGACCTCGACCAGTGGGATAAAGCCCAGTTGAAAACGGGCGGGAAATCACAATTTTTCTTCTGCAGCGCAGCACAGGCCACTCGGCTCACTAGGCCACAAGCTTGGTGCCGAGTTCCACCAGGACTTCTCCGGCTTTCGGTACGCCGCGGGGCGAGCTGACCGCCCCGACCCCGGGGGCCCCGCTAGTGCCAACAGTGAGCCCAGCCAAGGGTGAAGCGGGGGCCCTCAGTCAGCCAGCGGCGCACTCTATCCAGGGCTTGTCGCCTCCTGTGCGTTGTGGCCCCCAGAGAAAACTGTTATTCCCTGTCAGGCTTTGAACGGGGTTTGTTCGAAAATGCGGTACGGTTTGTTGTGGTTTTCTTTTTAAATGTTGTGCGATTGGGCTGACACGAGCACTCAAAACGAATAACACGATCTGAAATTTGGCGCAGAATAGCAATGTATGCAGAGGAGCAACTAATGACCGTGCCATCTTAAAACCGATCGCTGGTACGCAAAAATGACACATAACCTCGCTAACCTTAACAGATGCCCGAATAGGCCTGGGGAAAACTGATCAGCCGTTACCAGAAGCCAGTGCATGGAATAAAACAATCATCCCAACGAGCAGGGAAGACAGGACTGTCTAATTTCATCTCGACGGACAGAAGTAGCAAAGGGCAGCCTACCTCATCATAGGGGTTCAACATGGGCCTTCCTCACCAGAAACACGGCAGACGACCCACTTTACAACCAGAAGGGGCGCGTGACAACTGACTTTCCAGCCAACCAGAACTACAATGGAAGAGACTGCCCACCGCCCACCGACCACCCCGAAGACCTGGCCTGCGCGCCCACAACGCCGCCGCAGCCGGCGCCTCACCGGCCAGCGAGCAGGCGGGCGGCGGCTCGGCGTCCTTCGGCTTCCGCTGCTGCAGGAACCGGTCCGGGATGTCGAGCGACAGGTCCAGGAACGGGTCCTGCTTCTTCGACTCAGTCCGACAGATCAGACACGTCACCTGCGGACATCGACGGGTGTGACGGGGCTGTGGCAGGTGTCACAAGTCTGTGACATGTGTGACGGATATGTGACACGTGTGACAGATATGTGGCAAGCGCGACGGATTTTCGGCATGCGTGACGGATCTGTGACAGGTGTGACCGGTCAGTGACAAGTGTGACGGGTTTGTAATGTATATGACAAGTGTGACGGGTTTGTAATGTATATGACATGTTTTACGGGCCTATGACAGGTGTGAAGAATCTGTGAGGTCTGAAGGATCTGTGACATGTGTGACGGATCTGTGGAAGGTGTAGTGGGTAAATGACAGGTGTGACGGGCCTGTTACATATGCGACGGATATGTGACATGTGTGACGGGTCTCTGGCAGGCATGACAGCACCTATGGCAGGCGATATGTGCGCGTGCCGCAGGTAGGTCTGCGTCAGCTCCCAGATCGCCGACGCCAGGATCACCACGCTGGGAATTCCCACACCAATCCCTTGCTTCCGCGCGATTAACATTCGACACAGATCACATTTCATAACAACTCTACACGATATTTCAAGTCGTCAGCAGGCCACGAGAGTGCTCACAACAAGCGGTATGGTTTAATCGATTGATTGATGGACGTATATTTTGTGCAATACCGAATCAGCCCTGGGCTATTGCAACCCACGTCAGCAGATGAATGAACGGCTTATAGGTTATGAAGACAAGGACAGTCATTCAAAAACAAACGCACTGCAGCGCACGCAAATAAGCGCTTGTTACGACTTCGCCGCACAAACAGGTCCTGACATCTTCAGATGTCCCACGAGATGTCTCTTCAAGTGTTTTCGGAAAGAGACCATCGGGAAGTAGTCGAAGACAGTCCGAGAGTTCGTTACACGCTTGGGTGCGGGAATGGAAAAACGTCGTTTTCCCTTGTCAGTACGCGAACGAGACATAACTGGATCACTGTCCTGCCTCGTGGGTCGACCGCGCCCTCCGCCCACAGCGCGGAGCACGCCAGTTAGTACGGCTCGCCTGAATGGAGGATCATGTGGATGAGTGAGGGTGGTGTGATACCTGCCTCGATCCGCAGCGGAGAGAGCCTCTAAGCCTCTGATGAGGGTCCGAAACATTATTTATTACTTTTGCGTCCAAAAGTAAGTTTCGCAGCAGAGCCGGGACACTTTTTAACACTTTTTGAACCCTGGCCACATTGAGCTGTGAGCCACTGCCGTATACTGATATGCAATAACGGACCTGTCACAGAACCGGGGCATGCACCGGAGTGGCCAGGAGACTGGCGGGGAGCCTGTACTCCAGATGTGGTCGACTACCTAAGGAACCGAAACAGTGTTTACTGACATGCGAAACGTATGAATTCCAACTCAGACTTCGAGCAAAGATGGGTCCGAGATTCTTTCTTCCAAATAGAGGACACGAAGGTGAGAGCAGAATTTGAAAGTAACGTGGGGAACGATGCGGATACTTTGTCGGCTTCCAAGCAGCATCAGCTGCGTTTTATCAGCATCGACTGTAAGGCCGTTAGATCCGAGCCAATCTTCAAGTGGCCGCGACATACTCCAAACGAGCAATGGCGCTATGTAGCGGAGATCTGGGATCACTGATCAACATCCGGGTATCATCCGCGTCCTGGACTACCACAGCGTCCTCCACGAAACCACTCAGCTCGTTCGCGACTACGCTGAAGAGGAGAGGTCCCATTGTGGATCCCTGGAATACACCGATGCTGTTCGGAAGTTTAGAGGAGCCTTTCGAGGTGCCCGAGCGGTCAATGAGACTGACGCTTTGGGTGTGATTGCGAAGGCAGGGGAAAACCAAGAGGATCAATGCCGCGAGCGCACAGTTTGTAGACGAGTTCTGAGTGCTCCGAGTTCCGAGTCTGCCACATCAAAACAGTTGTTGAGATCAACAGCAGCGATCCTTCTCCCCGGTCATTTGCGGATAGGATGCGGTCGGAAATGGCGATCAACGCGGTCTCAGTGAAGTGATATACAGTTTCTTACGGATGAGAAGAAAACCTGGTTCTTAAGCTATATGATACATTCGGCGAGCATTCACAATGATGCGGCAGTACCATATCTCGTTAACATGATGTAACACCCCCACCCACCCCTCATTCACTTCGCTCCAGCTTCACTTCCATCCGCCACAAACGCGTCCACCGCGGCCTTACATCCGCGCGCGCCCTAACCTCATCCTGGTAGTACTAATCGTTCTCACATCAAACTCCTGGAGGCAGTTGTTCTCACGTTAATTCCCCCGCGGCAACATTCTCACCCCGTTCACCTGGCACCAATCATTCTCATCCCGTGCTTCTGTCAGCAACCGATCTCGCCCCGTTCTCAAAGTGCCAAACGTTCTCGCCTCGTTCTCCCAGCGTCAATCGTTCTCACCTCGTTCTGGAGCGTGCCGCCGAAGACGGACGTCACGACCGATTGTTTGCCGGGCGAGGGCGGCGGGCCAGCCACCGGCCGCGGCTCCCGCATGTCCGGCAACAGCGCCAGCATCTCCGTGTGCAGCCGGTCCAGCATGTAGCGCAGGAACTCGTGCGCGTCCTGCTGCTGGTACCCCCTGCAGCGAAGAGTGGCAAGGCGCTGGTGAGCTTGGGTGGAGTAACGTGTAATGCAATGGGACTTCACATCGCTCAGCACGTTTTTGTATGAGACCTTGACAGGTGGCAGTGGTCAGAGAGATGTTCACCTTGCATAACTTCACTACCTAGAAAATAGCGTCATTTTTTAAGACTCGTCGCATGCACCGTTTGCTGAGTGGCGTTTGGACTAGGGTCCCCCCTGAACATGACCTGTTGCCTGCACAGTAACCCCGGCATCAGCTGTCCCAACTGCGGACTCAAGCTGCCCCAGCCTGTTCGCCAAATAGTGATAGAGATGCTTAGCGAGTAATGCAGTCATGGCACGGGCGCCAGGTGCCAAACATCCCTCCTTCGCCGAGAAGGTCAGGCGCCTGAGGTGGGAATTAAGTCAGCGGGGAGATGTGCTCAAAACGCGCGGCGTCTGCCAATCGTCGCACGTTAAGACCAGCGCGCAGGCCAATATACAACAGGGGAAACATTGGAACGAGTCCCAACAGCTTAACCTGATCACACACAGACGCGTATCAGTCATGATAATCAAGCCTTCAAAAACATCGCCTTTCAAACGCAAATTCATACATAACGCGTGCACACACCGTCCATAACGTCCCGTACATCAGCCTTCCTAACAAGCACGTTCCGGAACCCTGAGCGGGCATAAATCGCCGACCACCCCGGGATCAGGCCCATACATCACCGGCGCCAGCGGTGGTGATGGCCGCTTTCGATCAAAAGCCGGCGGCCGTATCTTATAACGGGCGCGCGTGACTGCCGGCAGCGCTCGGCACGTGCCTTCCGATGCGACAAATGGAGCACGTCACCGTGGCGCGCGCAGTCCATCATCTCCCGTTATGGGACGGCGGGGGCGGGGGGGGGGACGACACTATTGTACGGCGTACTCGGCGCCGTGTGCCAGCAAAGGCACCGCCAGCCTGCACGGGCGGCCGGGCCGGGACCACTGGTCTGAACTGGGACCACTGGTCTGAACTGGGACCGCTGGCCGGACTGGGACCACTGGCCGGACTGGGACCACTGGCCTGAGCTGAGACCACAGGCCGGACTAGGACCAATGGTCGAACTGGGACTGCTGATCTTAACTGGGACCACTGGCCGGACTGGGACCATTGGTCGGACTGGGACGACTGTCCTTAACTGGGACCGCTAGCTGGACTGAGACCACCGGCCCGAAATCGGACCACTGGCCTGAGCTGGGACCACTGCCGGGACTGAGACAACTGCCCTGAGCTGGGATCACTGGCAGGACTAGGACCAATGACCGAACTAGGACCACCCGCCGGACTGGGACCACTGGCCGAACTACTGGCCTTAACCGGGCCATCACTGGCCGGAACAAACACCACAGATTTGGACCGAGGTACCGGCGGTCTGAGCCTGAGCACGGAACACTGACTCGACGGGTGCGTAACGTAACTGGGACTGGGTCACAAATGCCAAAGGACACCAAACAGGGCGACTCATCTTGACAGCCCCTGCGTGACTGGGTCAAGGCGTCCACAGGATTCAATCAAAAGGGATCAACGAGTTTACGTCCGTCCCCCCGCCCTTCCCTCTCCCTCCAGCTCCCAGACGGCCAAAAAGCAGTAACTTGTTCAGTTTCAGGTAGGGTTTCGGGAAGGTGTCGCTGCATTCAGGAACTTGCCCACTTCCAAGACTTCACCCGACACCAGCGATTTGAACCCCGACTTTGATCTCAGCAGCGATCCTCGTCAGCACCTTAGCAGCGTTCCTGCGCACTCAATGTCAATACGCAGCGGTCCGCCTTTGACCTCCCCCCCCCCATCCCCACCCCACCACTCACCTGATCCGGCTCACCGCCGACCTCAGCAGCGGCCGCTCTGCCCTGCACCACTAACCTGAAGCGCGGCACGACCTTCCAGATCACCGAGAAGAGCGCCTCGGGCGAGATGGCGCCGGAGGCGGTGCTCAGCTCTACCAGCACCTTGCGCAGCTCCTCCGTCATCAGCTCGCCGTTCAGGTCGCGGGTGCTGCGCGTCACCTGGCGCGCCGGGTCAGTGTCAGGTCAGGGGTCAGGCGGGCGCGGCGAGCACGTATGGCAGGGGTCATGGTCACCGGCGGGGTCGCGGGGGTCACAGCCGGGCCTCTTCAGACGCCGTGGGTCGAAAGAAGGGGGGGGGGGGGCGCCGTGGCGGCGGATTCTAAGACGCCAACTGAGGCAAAGTCAAGGTCACTCAACGGCAAGATGTAACGCGGACCAAACCCGACCCGCGACGTACAACGAGCTCAGCGGACAGTGTGGATGTACCCCCGGTCAGGTGGGTTCAGGGTCGTCTCATGAAAGGGAAGAGAGGAGTCACATGAAGACAGGGGGAGACCCCCGGTAAGACTCGCACGAGCACGCCGCCTCACTGGCGCTCCAGCTGGGCCGAAGTTGGGACTGAGGGCGCGGCGGGCGGCCGCAGCAGGTCAGAATAGGTCACCGTTTTTAGTTTCTAATGGGCAACGTCCGGGCCATCCCCACCGGGGGGGGGGGGGGGGGGGGACGGGAGACGGTACGGATGACGCCGCAGGAGCCAACGGGGCCGACCGTGAACCGTGCAGCGGCCCGACGCACATCACCAGCCGGCGACGGGTGGTGATGTGCGTGTCGTGATTTTTACGTGTCATGTTCTTTTATGACGTATATATTTACATATTTGTATATATATATATATATATATATATATATATATTACGTGTTATACTTTACATTTTTACGATTTAATTACGTAACACCGAACCTTGCAGCGCGTAACATAACCCATTACGGGACGGTCGCCACCTAGTCGGTGGCATCTCGTGCGTTGCCATTGGTGCAATGGGGCGCAATGACGTGAACAGAGCGCTACGAGGTTGAAGCTTCTCCCTGCAATATCGGCTGGAATCGGTCACGTGCCGCTGAGCCGTCAGGCAGGTCACGTGCCAGCCGGCTCGGAACCCGGCCGTGCGCCGCCGCGTGCCCCCGCTTGACAGGAGCGCTAAGGGGGACCCGACCGTACGTCGGCGCGGCCGGCGTACGGTCGCGAGGCCGACCGCGGGGGCGGCGGTGGGGGCGGCGGCGGCGGCGGCCCGCCGGCGCCGGCGCGAGGCTCGTACCATCACCGCCCACGCAAGCCTCGCTCGGGACCTGATCTAAACGGCTGCCGTAGCCGATCGGACCGGCACGCTCGCTGAGTGGCGTCGAAATATGATTGGTCGCGACCCGTGACGTCACCAGTCGCCGGCAGATTTAGCGCTGTCGGCCGCTGGAAATGACTTCGTCTCGAACGGCGCTGGGACTTTGATCAGCCTTAGATAAAATAAGGTCAGCCCCTAGATCTCCTTGCCCAGAGCCGCCCCCAAGCCGTTGCATGGGACGTCCCGCGCAGCCAAAACCACGCGGCCCGTACAAACCCACGTGACATTATCTCCCGAGACGCCACAGGCAGCGACTTCAGGACGCCGTTGACCCAGAAAAACGTCGCTCGCCAGTCGCGGCGAGGCACCAACACGGGGTCCGCACGGACCATTGCGTAGTGCACGCAACAGCATTTCGCCACACGTATTCTTATCTGGGCTGGTCCAATGCTGTTCAGATAACCTCCGCTGACGTATGGCTCGCCGGCGTAATGCAATTTACTTGGTGATGACGCGTCGAAGGCCAAAGCTCCGTCATTCTGTCAGCTTTTTCATAATTAGATCCCATCCCAGGCACGGACAGCGTGCCAGCCGGCATTTCGTCGGCCCGCCGCGAGCGAGAAGGCGCGGTCTGACAGAAGTCAACAAATGCTGGGTGGATGCCGAGGAGACGAGTGCCGCTTCCGGACGCACGCAGCTTTCCATGATTCTATCTTATCCTTAGTAGGTGATAGGTAAGTCACCAACGCACGTAAACATCATGACCACAGACATCGCTACATCACGGTGCGAACTGAGCCGGTGAAAAATTCCCGCGGCGGGAATCGAACGCAATCTACCCCGTAGTCTTCAGCTCTGCGCCTTGACCTCTCAGCCTCCCATGTGGCCACTCAATCCCCAACACCTGACCACCATCCCGCAACAGGTGTCCGCGCCGTCCGTCGCGGCGACGTCGGCCGAGCGCGACTCGCGCCGCCGGCGCGCTATTTCCGTGCGCGCCATTTCCGGAGATGGGCTCCTAATCCCGGGCCGGGTCGGCGGCGCGTCAGCATTACGCGGCGGCAGGCAGGCGCGCCGATGCGGGTGGAACGGCGGCAGGTCACCGCCCCCCCCCCCCCCCCCCGCTCGTCAGCCGGGCGTGGTCAGCGACGCCTCGGCCTCACCGGCCGGCAGAGGCTGGGCGATGCACGTGAGAGGGTATCGCCAATGCGGGCGGAACGGCGACAGGTCACCACGCGCCGCCCTCCCCACCCGTCAGCCGGGCATGGTCAGCGACGCCTCGGCCTCACCGGCCGGCAGAGGCTGGGCGATGCACGTGAGAGGGTATCGCCAATGCGGGTGGAACGGCGACAGGTCACCGAGTGCCACTCTCCCCACTCGTCAGCCGGGCGTGGCTGTAGTTGATTAAGAGTTTTAGGGCGCACCGATTACTGAGGTCATTTGCGCCTATAACAGTTAAATGACTACCTACGCGTATACATGGCTAAAAAATAGCAACGCCTCAGCCTCATCGGTCGACCGAGGCCGGGTGGTGCGCGCGTGACCAGCTGTTTCAGGTTTGGTCGCTGGCGTTGGCGCTTTCGACGCACTCAGCTGCTGAGGCTACATGACGTCTCCTGCTTCTCTGGTGGGAAGAGCGCCATCGCGGCGGAGAATCGAACCCCCGTACATCTGGTTTCCCGGACATGCAGGGGTTAACCATAACTGCACTGTCGGCACCCGGTGTTTTGGGTTCAACTGGCATTCATTGCACGTCCGCCTGACGTGTGATGTGGAACCGACGCAAGACATGTGTGTCCGCCGCCTCTTCTTTCCATCAACGCCTGAGTACACCAGGCTAATGGCGTAAACGGTCAGCTGTGCTTTTCTGATCAAATGTTCACAACTTTTCTTTGGTACTGCGATTGGCTGGGCGTGCATATGTGGTTTACGCCGCGTTTACCACTCACTATGCCGGAACAGAACTTTTCAGCCAGATCTTATGATTCATATTGTTCTTCCCACCTTTGATGAATATAACACGCGCCTTTCCTTCGCGACACGACATGTTGCGGCGCATAACTCAGAGCTCCATTTTCCTTTTACAAACGTTTTGATACGATCAGCGTCTACATGGGTGACCTCGTCAAATTCAAGTCCGGATGACATGATAAATAATACACAAACCCGCCAGCCGGATCTGTTTCCAGCGTCGCCAATCCCCAAACGTGAATTCTTCACAGGCACACACACCGGGAACCACGCCCTGCGTGATAACGACTGGAGTTTGGTTTCGAGACGGGCTCCTGCGGGCCCCGGGAATGAGACATATTCAGGTCCGCCCGGCGACGCGCAACAGGGCTCTTCTCATTAATGACGTAACTCGACGCCGGCCGCCCGGTTTGCGGGGAACCCCACCACCGGAGGACGCCGCGGGTCCCGTACGGCACACACGCCACCGGCCGCTCAGTCCCCCAGCTTCGCCAGCCCCCCCCCCCCCCCTCCCCCACACGTCCACAGCCGCACGGCCGCGTCTGTACTCCCAGGCGGGCGTGACGAAGCGGGGGGGGGGGAGGGGGCGGGGGGGCATCCGTCATCGGCCCCCGGCGGAGGCGGCGCGCCCGCTCCACACAAGAGCGCCGCAGCGGCCGGCCGGCGCCGGCCGCACGAGCGTACCCGCCAGCCGTTGCCGAACGAGGCGCGGCGCTCCTCACACGGAGCGTGAACACGACAAGAATGACGTCATGCACGCCGCCGTCGGGCGCTGACAGCGAGCCGTGAGGCAGATGTCGGCGATGCGCGTCGCAAGGGCGGCGCTGGAGCCGCGTTTAACGTGCGCCGCGAACGGTTCAAAGGCGCCGGGGCAACGCGCCGCCACCCTGTGATCGGCACCACGTTTACGGTATTGTTTACTAAGCTGGACATTGCTCCAGGTTAGGAGGTACAAACCCGAGCTCTGCCTATTGAATGAGGGTCACGATAGTCCGTGATTTCGTCTCCCAAATCGTGTTGCGAAAAAAGTAACCACTGTCCACATGACCGGACTGAGCATTCGGGTAGTCACGATCATCCGAGTGTCTGTGAAAAAGCATAGACAACTGCATAATACACTCGGTATTGGTCTTGGGCTCTATAAACAGTACACCTTGCAAAAATAATACTGAATGTATCTATTGCACCGTTAAAATCGAAAGATTTGCGATACGAGATATTTCGTTACATTTAAGATGAAATTACACATGTTTGGTCAATGCATACTACGCTTGGCCCTGCTCCGCCTTCGTATCTGGTTATACAACTTGCCTTATTCACACATGTAGTGCAGCACGGCAGATTTTCATGCCGACCTTCGACACCTGCCTTTCACCCACGCCGACATTATCCCAATCCGCTACTCAATTCGAGACCAGTGTAGCCCAGTACATATACACCTGACCGAGTGTTCCAGTACCAAAACCAATCCGAAGCCACCAGCTCTGCTACAGAGCACCCGCCACGCGAGGACATGCACGAGGGCATGGCTCATCCCTGCTAAGCGTGCTCCCCACATTTTCATTTTCAGAACGCTACCAGCGCGTGACGTATGAAAAATACTTCCGTGACAACCTATGTGACGAAAAATTCACACCATGGAGCGCACGCTAGCAGACTTCATTCATCGAAGTGCTTATAATGATGTGATGTCGGCACATAAGTCACGGCATGACAAAAAAGGCAATTACCACGGCATGCTACGCCTCAGCGGCGCACCGCGAGACACCCCAATATTGCCCGAGCAAGCATCAAACAACACGTGACTTTGACAATTGTCTACCATCCGATCTCCAATGGTTTCCATTCCCAATTTTCCTCAGATTCCACGTGGCACCACCTACACACGGGATGTCCAGAAGCTTGCCATGCGAACCAGGTCGTGACCCACCTTATCAAAAGACCTGGGCTTCCACGCTGTGCGCCGTCTCCGGCCAAGTCGCTGCACCGCATCTTGTCACAATGAAAGCGGCACGCGCACTTCCGACGCCTCCGCCGTCTCGACTCTGAAGTGTTCGTGTGAGGTCGAGCTCACCAAGCCAGGCGCCATCTGCCGGCCTCCGAAACCGCGGCGCGATGCCGGCCGCCGGAACGAGGCTCATCTTCAGACCCCGCCCGCCGCCCGCGACCGTACACATACACCTGGCCGAACGTTCCAGTACCAAAACCAATCCAAAACCATCAGCTCTGCTACAGAGCACCCGCCACATGAGGACTGGTGACTGGACCCGCTACCGGCGACTGATCGAGCGGGCGCCACCTGGCCACTGCTCAGATAACATTCGCGTTAACGGGACTAGGTCCGCTACGGGTAAAGTAGTTCGGCTGAAGAAGCTGCTTACGCTGACCCCGCGCGAATACACCCTGAAGTCGGTTGACCACAACATAATACCCGTTAGGTCACGTCGATTTATCGTCGCCGCGATCGTCAGCCTCAACACGAGAGCGATCTCAGCTTTGCCAGACTCTATGAAAATCTGTGCAGGTGAATGCTTGGTGGGTCGAGGGAGCGGTCCGCGCCGACAGCTGTTGCCATTCTGCCGTTGTGAGAACATCGAGCGGCGGGCTATCTAAAGAGCTTCTATCCCGATCTCAACCCGTTTTCTGCACCATTGGTCTCCATGGTGGTCATTGCATTAACGCCACATGAGTTTGCATAACGCGACCAACGGATGCAGCGGAAGCACGTCCAGGAGGAAGCGAACGGAAGACCTGAACACCGAGAGGCAGTTCCCTGTAACATTTGGCTTCCCTGCGCTTACAGCCTTCCCTGCGCTCACAATCCTTATATGCTGGAAATCATATCTTTGCCCAATGAAAACAGACATCTCGCACACAACCGTGCATTGAAAAGCGTCCCAATACGAAGCGCCCTCCTGCTCTCCTGATGGGTAATAGACACAGGACCTCACCGAACAACTGGGAAAGCGCGGTTGTTCCACGCTCATCTCGGCTTCGATCCTCAGCGCTACACTCTTAAGTCAGCTCTGAAGCATCTCGAGCCCACGCAAGCAGGAGCCAGCACCGGCGCTCTGTTGTATCCCCCATCATAAGCTGTTTCGGTCACAATGAAAAGTACATGAAGGAATTGGCCACGCGCGAGTGTCAGCTCTATAGATGTGAATCGCGAGCCGGTAAATGGACCAATTGAAAACCGAGAGCAGACATTCCACGACTTCCACCGCGCATAGACCACGATGTCCATGTGCGCTAGCGAGACCTTTGATGGTCAGCTTAATTGCAAGGGGTTCAGGCAACGCGGCGGCACAAAAGAAGCGGATATCACAAGGGCTCACTAATAACCGGCTTTCAGCAAACGCTGGACGTCCTCGTTGTGCAAGGAAATCAAAATTAACTACGCTTCCAAGCACATTTCACGTTTCTCTTGTTGTCCTTCATCTCGACATGTGAAATGTGAAAATGTGACAATGGTGAAAAATGACAAAATTGACACCACGACATTGAAATGTCTCTTTCAACCATCCATGCGCATGCTACGTTCTCCTTGGAAGAACACAACGCAGCTATCGGCCGAGATGAACGCCGAGTCCAAAGCGCTCGAACTAAGCCCCTCTTTTTTGTCTCGCCTTTATGCGCAGCGCGTGCACTTGCAAAAAAAAAACGACTCAATCGCGATGCTTCTAATAGATTCTCGTAGCCGGACGCAGACAAACGCACACGGCGCAACTACAATAATCGCAGCAAATTTGATGACAGCTCCAGGGACAATGCAGCGCAATGGTCATTGGTTTAAGGCCGCGGAACACTATTGCCGGCCAGCGCATTCATTTTAGAACGACGCGGTGACTCACGCCCCGAAGCGGCCATATACAATGTGTGAAGATCGGACCCGCCCAGTCCGGCCAGCCTGAATCCACGCCTTCCTGGCTTCAGTCAAGATCGCCAGCCGAACGGCCGCCCCTGACATCCGCCCACCTTGTGTTGCCGCGCGCAACTGCTGCTGCACGTTCGCACTGTCGTGCGAAGCCACGGCACCTGGGGAGGACATCCTCGCTCCCATCCCTAACCACCACCCTGCACCCTACGTCATCTCACCTGGCCGGATCTTGCTCCTGCCGTTCTGCACGCGCACCTTGATGATTCGGCCAGGTCGGGCACTCTTCATGTAGCTACGGAACTCCTGGATGTTGCTGTGGCGAAGACGAAGGCGCACATCAGTGGAAGGTGGCTCGAGGTGAGCAGCGGCGGGGAGGGGGGCGGGGGGGGGGGCTGAAACTGAAGGGAACGGGGGATAGCGGGCGGGGTTGTGACTGGACATGCTTTCGACGAATCGGGGGAGAGGGGCGGGAGGGCTGGAAGTAGCGGGTCGGAGGCGGAGCTCACACAGAAGGTGGCAGCTGCGGTTGGTACTGTAAACGACAGAAGAACACAGCTGCGCCGGACCTGTGAGCTGACAGATGGGACCAGTGGTGATGAAAGCGGGACCAGGGATGATGGAACCGAGATCAGTAATTATGGGAGCGGGACCGGGATGAAATGCGCGGACGGGGTGATCAGAGCGGTTCCGGGGGATCAGAGCGGGACCGGGGATGATCAGAGCTGTTCCGGGGGTGATGGGACGGACCGGGGTGATGGACGGGACCGGAGGTGATGGCGGACGGGGTGATGGCCGGACCGGAGTGATGGACGGGGACCGGGGGTGACCGGGACCGGAGGGTGATGGGAGCGGGACCGGATGACCGGAGGGACCGGGATGGGAGCGGGATCGGGGATGATGAAGCGGGCGGGGGGATGGAGGCGCGACCGAGGGTGATGGCAGCATGAGCGACAACGGCCGCCACCGCTGGGCGGGACCGGGCCGCAAACCAACACCACGGCCGACACGCAGCCGCCGGTCGTCAGCTTTGACAGATGGGCACGCGGAAGGGTTGGCACACCCCCCGCCCCCCGGGAGGCGACACACGACATGTGACGGAGCGCGGCCAGGCCGCGGCAGAGGACGGTGGGCGCAGGCCGCGTCCCTGCATTAGCCTCTGTCTGATTCCAGCTGCACAGGCGAGAGCGCCGCCGGCAACACGTTACCTTCGAGAATGACGGCGAGCCGGTGGCAATATAGAGTGAATGAATAATTCAAACCGCTGGGCAGTAATCAATGCCTGGCGTACTATTTGAGCCGTTTTACTGTGGCCCTACGGTATTGCGAATTGACGAACTTGCGTTTGATGTTTCGGCAAATGCAGCTTGTTCACGCGATCCAAAAACCCTCATGATAACCAGGTGTGTTCACGCGAACCAGAACCATTAATGACAACGTTTTGGCATCACGCGAATTACAGCACTATCCAAACGTCGAAACACATCTATAAGTCACACCCCGTGAGCGTGTCGCAACGTGGTGCGAAACGCTGTGACCTTACCAGCCCCACCCACACTGTCATGTATCAGAGAAAGCGAATAGGCCGCACATCGTGTCAGTTCCGTCCAGGGCGAGGCAGCAGCGCAGACTCGCGGGCCGCACCGCCTTGTTTCCCGCAAGCCGACTGACTGGCAGTGTCACTCTCGGCGGCATTTGTAAACGGAGTAGTGCTGGCAAGTTTAACGCAATTTCAGACAACACAATGG